GCCCATTCAAAAATCATAGTCGAGGTCGCACTGCGCGCCTTCGCACCTGGGGAAGAGAACAAAGAATGTGGAAACGGGGTTTGTTTGTTTTCTGTTTTCTGTTTGTCTGATTATTTGACTTTTGTTTTGTTTTAATGTGGATTGCTTTTTTGTTAGAGAAGTAGTACACACTCAGGAAAGTGGCAGGAAATACGAAGAAGGGAAAAAGCAGCCCTACTCTCCCAGCATAAGTTTAAAAGTTTTGGTATATTTCCCAACAGTCTTTGCTAATAGATCCCACATGGATCAGTTTTTTTCCTCCCATATTGCTGGTTTCATACCACACATACATCATTGCATCTTGCTTTTAAGAAATTAAATATTATAAGTACTTTTCAGTACCATTCTAGACATTTAATATATATCATTTTAAGTGGGTGTAAAAGTCTTTGGAGAAGCAGTCCCCTAGGGTTGAGCATCGAGAGGGGCCCCAGTCTTTTACTAATATGCAAATAGGGATGCTATTAAAAACTAGAAGTCTATTGCTTTTTTGTTATTTATGATTATTTCTTGAGGATAGACTCCCCGAAGTCATACAACTGGGTCCAGGGGTGTGAACATTTTAAGGGTGATGACATTTTGTCAAATTGCTTTCCTAAAGCATGTCCAGCAGCATTCTCTCACCCTTGCTGCTATTTCTATTTCCCTCCTTCCTTAGGGAGCTGTTTGTAGCCATCCTGGAAGGAAGTCACCGCAGCTTAGAGAGGAGCCACTGCTATCTTGTTTTAATTGCAGCTATTTCCTTATTGCTGAGATACAACATTTTTTCCATACAAGTTATAGTTCCTTTTTCACCATTTAGTAGTTTTTCCATCAACTTGTAAGAAGGCTTGTATAATGAAGCATTTACCTCAGGTTTATTGAACGTGCTGCAAATCCCTCTTCCCAGAGCTAGCTTCCTAAATCTTCTTCTCCCTGGCACAGTGGAGTCCTGGATCCCTCGGGATGACCCCTGGGCTGACTCATTTGCCAGAGGGTTTCCAAAGCTACTCATTGAAGACAAGCTCCTGATGCTGACTAGCAGCCCCAGCATGTCCCTGAGGTCACTACTTTTCAGCCGGATCCAGAGGCAAGCAATGTATCCACATCTGCTCTCTGCACATCTGCCAGGCGCTGCTGCTATCTGCTGGGCGCTATCTTTACAAAGGAGGGTCGGGAGTCACGGCTGTAAATCCCTAGCCTGCTGTGAAATGGTTTTATGGATGAGATTAGAACCTTTTAAGCTATCTTTCCCCCTAGAAAAGAACTCAAGAGGGGAGAAAATACACAGGAAGATGGATACCATCTAAAACAAATTTTGATTAAGCATCTCTGCTACTGCTACATTGAAAATTGCAGTTTAAAAAATTGCCCCAGAAAATGATTTTAAGGATGTGAGAATTGAATTTTCTGAGTGTGCGGACCTCCAACCTGGCCAAAGCTTGCCTTAGGGCCATGTCTTAGGGCTCTGCTACTCGAAGTGTTATCCAAGGACGGACAATGTCAACATCACCTGGGAACTTAAGACATGCAGACCCCACCCCAGACCTACTGTGTCTGTCTGCAGTTGGACAAGGTCCCCTGACAATCTGAATGCGTGTTAAATTGGAGAAGCACTGTCTTAAAGAGTGGTATCGACTCTGGTTTACACATTAGAATCTCCGAGGGAGTTTGAAAACAATATAGACATCCCGGCCCCACCCTCAGGATTCTGATTCATGTTCGTCTAGAGCAGGCTTTGGACATTGGAATCGTTTACAAGCTCTCCAGCGATTCTTTGTGCAGCCGGAGATGAGAACTGACCTAAAGTTTCTAAAACTTCCTTCTAACAAGGCAGAGTCGATAAAACTCTCTGAACTCTGAGGTCTTCAAATTCCGTGCTTCTTAACTATTACTATCAGGATCAAATCGGATTTACAAAAACCACCCAAGCTCCTGGAGGACAGGGATACATTTCAAAAGGAAAGAATCTTTTTGACATTTTGTGGGCTAGTTTCAAGAGCAACTAGGTATCTTGGGATGAGAAACAAAACAACAAACACACCAAACAATGGAGGGCTTGCCCTTAAATGCATGTGAACAGTATTGGCAAGCCTACCCTCGGTCATGTTCTCACTCCCCCGGATGGGTCACACAACAGCACGTGAAAATGGCCCAGTTTTGTGCTTATTAAAATAGGCAAAACAGCCAGGCCTGCCCTGCCGCCACCCCACGTCTTCAGGCTGCTCTCAATGCAGCTTTCAAAGCTAATCTCCGTAGTGCCCATGAGTCATTTCCTGAAGTGACGAACACACAGCCAGCTGGACAGCAACATACTGTGTTATCTGAAGTCCGAGATGCTGCTGAATTGGACCTCTGGTTTTCTGTTTCCAGAAGACCAGCATCTGTCAACAGCCCCCAGGACGAGAAGAGTGGGGCTTGATGCTCACTTTGGAGTGATGTCACCACGGGTGGGTCACAGCAGTGAGTGAGGCTGGAAATCAGGCCTCACTCAGAACTTTGCAAACTCTAGGCCACACCGGACCCCTGAATCTGTTTCTAATGCCCCAAGATGCTGACTCCTCCACTGTGGGGCTGCCAGAAACCCAATGTGTTGGCCTGCAGCTGTGAGCCGACTGTCACCGTTTGTGCTTTATAATTATGACCACTTTCTGCGTCTTCTTCAAGGCGATAAAGTTGGAAGATCTTGCATAAGAGCAGGGTTCTCAAACACTTTTGGCTCAGGACACCTTAATACACTTAAAAATTCTTGAGGACCCCAAGGAGTTTTCGTTGAGGCAGGTTGCATCCAGTAGGGCGCTGGGGTCAGCTTGTACCAGCTCACGAGAACTCAACGTTCAGGAATTTCCTTTTTTTCTTTTTTAAAGATTTTATTTTTGCTTTTTCTCCCCAAAGCCCCCCCCGGTACATAGCTGTGTATTTTTCAGTTGTGGGTCCTTCCAGTTGCGGCATGTGGAACGCCGCCTCAGTATGGCTCGATGAGTGGTACCATGTCCACGCCCAGGATCTGAACCAGCGAAACGCTGGGGCGCCAAAGCAGAGCGCGTGAACATAACCACTCGGCCATGGGGCCAGCCCCTACATTGAGGAATTTTCCAAGCCAACTGTTAAACCATTGGAAGCTTGAAATTGGCAACAGAGGCAGTATTTACACCAGAGAAACTGGCAAATGCTATAAATCAGGGCCATTTTTCATTTTCTGGAAATCAGGTTTGGCAGCAAACCACTGATTATTATCTACCAAGATTTACCATATTAGGCACAAAAATGGAGAGCTTTCAAAAATATCTCTTTCACCTAAAAATAATAAACTCATTACATGTTAACATAAATGACGTAAATTTTTCACAAAAATAGATTTTTTTCCCCCCAAAACAATGATTTAATGAGGAGAGTTCCCTTTTATTTTTGCAGATCTCTTTAATGGCTGGCTAAACAGAAGTCAGATTTTCATAGCAGCTTCTACATTGTCTGTCATGGAGCCTCTGGAAAACTTGGGAGAGAATCAGATCAAAAAAAGGGTTAATAATGTCCTAGTGTTTAAAGATCGTTTTGACCTTGTATGTCTCCTGAGGGTCTTGGGGACCCCGAGAATCACCACATGGGAGCATTTCTCCTTTCTGATGCGATTACAGCTTAACGGCACCCCCGTCATGGAACAGCTCACTTTACCCTGTGGTCAAGTCCTCTCCCTGCACATTTGGTCTATCAGTTGAAAGGAACAGCCACACACTGGTGCCAATCCTGCCGGGAAACTGCTGTTGGTGACTGTGTCTCCCCTGGGTTTTCGCGATGGCACCTGGGAGAAGATAAGCTACTGATGGCAGGTCTAGGCCTCAGAAGCATAGAACGCTTGGTCACGAACGCTGCTTAACTTTTTCCACTTGCTCCCAGAGCTCAAGACTTCCTGAAGAACAGGACATTTTTAAAAATTTCTTAAATTCAGAAGCATAACCTAAAATTTTCCATGTGCATATTCAACAGCCAAGTATTCCATTTCCTTAAAAATCCTATTTTTGACTAGGTGGAAAAAACAAACTTTTTTGTGTTAAGAAGATTCAGGTGTTTTTTTTTTTTTTTAAAGATTGGCACCTGAGCTCACAACTGTTGCCAATCTTCTTTTTTTTTCCTGCTTTTTCTCCCCAAAGCCCCCTGGTACATAGTTGTATATTTTAGTTGTGGTCCTTCTAGTTGTGGCATGTGGGACGCCTCCTCAATGTGGCCTGACAAGCAGTGCCATGTCCTCGCCCAGGACCCGAACCGGTGAAACCCTGGGCTGCTGAAGTGGAGCACGAGAACTCGGTCACCGGGCCGGCCCATTTCGCTTTTAATTCTGCTTCTTGCCCTCCGCCCCAGGGAGTGTCACTTGGCAAAGGACCATCCCTGGAGGGCAGCCCTCCTTCAAGTTGCCACACATCCTTGTGGCTCGGACATTTAGTTTGTCCTCTCTTCCCTAGGAAGGAACTGCAGACTCTCCCCACGGTGCCTACAACCCAGGAATGCGAACATATTCTCCGTGACGTAACCTCAAATTTCCCTAAGAAGGGATTAAAAAAAAAGACACAGAAAGCTAATCACTCAATGCCTTTGGTAGAAATTGTGTTTTTTTTTCTCCTCCATTTGTTCTTCATCCAGATCCACTCTCCAGGCCCCAAGAAGCTCACCTTTATGGGCCACGTCCCCCCAGGCTCCCCTGACCTCTGGGCTGGGGTCATGCTCAGGAGCAATGGGAGGCCCCAGCAAGACGTTGGGGGCGTGCTAAGGGCGTGGGCAGGTCGGGGTGTTCCCTCCTCTACCCCTTGGGCTGGAGTGTGACAGCTTCCCCTAATTGCTAGTCCCTGGGGGCCTTACCCTCCCCTGCTGGTTACCTCAGGCCAGGCCACACCTCTGCAAATCACCTCTTCATGAAACACTCTTCAGCTAAACCCTGAGACCGGCCTTGTGGCCAGGGCCCAAAAGACACAATCAAAATTTATTCCAGATACCAAGCAAATGTTCATGTTTATTAATACAGGTTACATACATTTTTTAAAAAAAGAGAACATAAAAACAGTGACATAATATTTTATAAGTACAGACTGATGATATGCTAACGATAGTCATATTAAGTCAGAGGTATTTTAATACATACAGACTGAATGAACAATGACTAAATCTCCACTCAGTTGGAGAAAATGAATAGAATAACTAAATTAATAAAAATCAATGCTAGCTTCTACTTATAATACATACTATTCTGTAAATTATTCTGTGGCATTTGGAAATTTGCTTTTAAATAGGTAAGCATTTGCCTTGCAACTTTCCACTTTTCTTGTTTGTTTAAAATGCCAACATTTTGTCATAAGGAAAAAAGATACACTTCAACCTAATCGTCAAATTATTTTGTCAAATCCATGAGGGTTTTCTGTACTTGTTACTCATCATGGCATTAAATTAGCTCATTGACATTTTTTTTGAGGAAGATTAGCCCTGAACTAACATATGCTGCCAATCCTCCTCTTTTTGCTGAGGAAGACTGGCCCTGAGCTAACAACTGTGCCCATCTTCCTCTGCTTTATATGTGGGACACCCGCCACAGCATGGCTTGCCAAGCAGTGCACAGGTCCGTACCTGGGATCCGAACCTGCGAATCCCAGGCTGCCAAAAAGGAATGCGTGAACTTTACTGCTGCACCACCAGGCAGGCCCCTCATTAATTCTTAATACAAGTGAGTGGAAAATACAGGATAAGTTTCCTAGATTACAAAGTCAGTTTTGTTTTCTTCTGTCATTTCTAATCAGACTGACATAACTGATTCTTTTAAAAAGACCTGATTTGAGTAATTTCTTGAAAACACTTATAAATAGTGTCCAATTCCTGTAGACTGAAGGACTGACTTTAAAAAATGCGCTTCCTGTATTCCATTATGTTTTCTGCTCAAGTTATAACCACAGGAAGCAGTAACGTAAATGTTCAAAGTTCTTCAAAGGACAGGCCCTGCTTGGGTGAGACTTGCTTGGTGACAACTGGCTAAAAACACTTCTTTATGTAATGACACATTTATTACACACGTCACACTCTACGTGTCGTCTACGCTGTTCTTCTTGAGGGCCGGTCTCAGTCTTACTCAGCTCTCTACGCCCAGAGCACACCTGGGTGCTGACGCTGGCTCACGGGTGTTTCCATCCGAGAGTGGTCCTGGCAGGGTACCGCTAGAAGGGCATGCGCCTTCTTTTTCTGTTCTCGAAATCCACAGAGAGGTCTTTTATATTCATTCTGTCCAGGGACAGTGCGGCCTGCTTCGCCGGTTCCTCCCAAACGGGATCAGCTCAGAGCCTGCCCCTGAGAGAACCCTAGGAGGAGAGAGCAAACACAGGGGTCCAGTGCCTCTGCTCTCCGGCGGCTCAGCCATCGGGCTTCTGGCCACGCCTGTCTGCAGCGGCCCCGCCCTGCGTCTACTGCGGCGAGGCCTCCATCCCAGGGCAGGGAATTGTGAAGCCCAGCCTAACATCACTGGTGGAACCTATGCTCCTTCTTGGTCTACGTATACAGCATGTAAAACATCCAAAATGCTACCCATATCATCTGTTTTCGCAATTTAAGGAATTCAAACTTTGATATGTTTAGAATGAAAAACAGTAGAACTTTTTCTACACACAAATACTGTCTTATCCCTCAATAACTTAAACATTGCTGCTGAACAATTTCAAGATACACTTATTTGCAAAAACTGGGTAAGTCCAAACTAGAGAATCGCTCACTACTGATGGACAGCTCCAGGTGTTGAGGCCTGAACTGCACCAACCTAAACTTTGCCTATGAAATCAGAGAATCAGAGTTTATTTCCATAATCTCTGGGGGGAAAAAAAAGGAGGGGTTCAAAGTGCCTCATCTATACTGCACTGCAGGTGACACAAGTGTGTGTATGTACATGAATGTACATACATCAAAAAGTGACATCCAGTTACTACTGCAGCATTGGCAACACTCCCTGGGAACAACGTCGTTTTCTATTCCCGTTATCTTTTCCTGTAATGAACAAATAAATATGCTTAATGGCTCTCCTAAGAAGGAGGCATGCAAATCATACATTTCCTGTTTTTGACGGTGAAGTAAATACTGTTTTGGCAAGGACTAGTAGAATCCTCAGGTTATGTAGGTTTTTTTTAACCTTTTCTTTTTAACTCACTGGCAGTCCCTTTTCCTAAGCTAACAGCTTTTTGTATATGCTGTTGCTCAGGTTACTAGAGCACGTATCCATTTTACTCGCCATGAGCTGACCGCTGCTGTTAGAACTGCTGGGGTCGGGACTTTCTTTGCAGCAGAAGATGCTGTAGAGGTGCCGCTGGCACTCGGAGGAAGCGTAATAGTAGATCAAGGGGTCAATGCAACAGCTTATGCTGCTGACACAGACACAGAGGAGGTAAGCAAAGTAGGCAGCCTCTGTCGTGGAAATCGGAAACAGGAACGAATAGTGCAGAATCAGGAGGACGTTTGTGGGTCCGAAGCAAACAATGAAGATGCAGAAAACAGCAGCCGATAAGAACAAAGCCCGGGACTTCTTGCTCTGGTTGGCAACTGCGGAAGAGCTAAGACATCGAATGATAGACACGTAACAGACTGTGGAAATGATCAACGGCACAAAAAAGAAGACGGCAGAGAAGGCTGAGAAGTAATAGGCATAGTAACCTTCCAGCAGCGTCTTGTTGAGCACGTCATGACAAGTGGTTATGTTGAGCCCCGGCACCCGGGTGGTCTGCTCCTGGAGGAGAAGAGGCACCACCCCCGCGATGGCCAGAGCCCAGATGGCCAGGCACGTGAAGGACGCCCTCCCCAGCGTGCGCCAGGAGAGGGACCGGATAGGGTACACCACAGCCAGAAACCGGTCAATGCTTATGACTGTCATGAGCATGATGGAGGCATACATGTTACAGTAAAACGCTGCAGTGACGAAGCGACACATTTCAGACCCAAATTTCCAATCACTTCCGGAAAAGTAATAGCTGATCTTAAAAGGGAGCACAGACACAAAGAACACGTCTGCCATGGCCAGGTGTAACATGTACACCATGGCAGGCTTCTTGATCTTCATTTTCAAGATGAACAACACAATGGCCATGATGTTGAGAGGCAGGCTTATCACGAAGACACCCGTGTAGACAGAGGGGATGAAGAGAGTCAACCAGGTGCTGGTCAGATACCCTGAGGCCTCTTTGGAGATGGGCTCCGCAGGCGGCTTTCGAAGCGGACTGTTCCTGTTGATGGAGCTTGATGTGTCTTCAGTTAACATGCTTTTGTTCTCCTCCTCGTACCCCTCCTCCATGGGGAATGGTTCAAATTGATCGTGGGAATTACTGAGAATAAACGACCGGGGATCCACAGTATCATTTGTTGCTTTTGACCCTGAAAAATAAAATTTAAAAAAAGAGAATGAATTAAAAAGGCAAAAGAGACCGGCAGAGAGTACCTGGTACTTCTGATTTTGTTCTCTTACTAGGAGAGCGGGGCGGAGGGCAGAGCGCAGGTGGCGCGTGAACGGATTCCGACCTTAGCAGGGGACTGGCTAATTGAAAACCGCGTGCAATGTTCTGACGCAAGCGAACCTTTAAAACCCTGCTCCTCAGAGAGATAGAGGCCAACGACACACTCGCAGAGACCCAGCCTGCAGACGTTGGGAAAGGCTGAGTACCTGACACGAAGGAAAAAAGCAGAGATTTCTTCTCTCTCCTAGCCACCGTCTATAGAAACAAGCCCCTCCCAGGCTATAGACAGGACTTCTCTTTCCTCCACCTGCCTTCGTGTGGACATTTCTCCATTTAGTCTGCAGTCCCCCCTTGAAATCCATCCCTGCCAACGGAAAAATCCAGAGAACGTTGAGGGGACTTCTTCAAGCGATGGAGCTAGTGGCAAATTTGGAGTGGGGCCGAGGGCTCCCATTTCCACAACCATGACCAATGTGACAGTAGTTTTCCTCTACTATCTTTAGTCAGTTTCTGAATGTCCCAAATCTCTCACTGTATTTGGGTCTAAACCACCATCGCTCGGGTTATATTCTAATACACCCACAAGGCCCTACCACCTCAGTCATCTTCCTGTCTCCTTTCTCTGCAGGTCAGTGCAGCAGCAGATGATCTAGGCTGATGGCCTTCTCAGCTCAGATGCAGAGTGCTGCCTGCACCCAGGCTGGCGCCACGCCAACCAGCTCTTTTGAGTATCAACCAGAAGTCAAAGTAAAGACTCAGTTGCAAACTTTCTCCCTTTACCACCCTCTTCCAGTACAAACACCCGTTTGAAATGTTCATCAAAGGAACACAACACTTAGCCGCTGGAATTCAACCAGCTTTTCCTTCCAAGGAGGTTTGCCAAAATTCTGCCATTGAGGAGGCTTGGACAAAGAGCCTCTGTTGCGCCTTGGGAAGCTGAAGGGTGTGGAGAGAAACCACAGAGGAAAAGGGGCCAGGTCTCCACCCCGGGAGTGTTCACAGTGAAGGTTAGACACGCAGGCCACTCAGAAGTGATGCTAGAGGATTCAAAAACTGGCTGGAAATTGGATAAGTACAGTGGATTTTCAAACTTTTGGTTTCATTTCTCAGTAGTGGAACACTCCTGCAAACAAAAACTTATACAGAGAAGCATAAATGCAATAAAACAGAGAGTTCTTTTCTGGCGTGGCTCTGTAAGGTCCTACCAGACTCAACCATCCCTTAGATAAAAATGACAAACTCTGGACCCCCTTCCTTCCCTAAATCAATGACCCGAGGGCATTTAGGTTCACAAGGCGGTGTTGGGGAGGGGAGGGATGAATCTGGAAAGAAAGGATGGCACCTGGTGAGTTTCTTGTTTTCAGTGGCTTTTAGCTTGAGAGAAGGCCCAAGTCAGTGCCACAAAGGATGGTTAAAACTCAGATAGAAAATCCACAGTCTTTCTGGCCTGAAGAACCACAGGACAGAGTTCAGGGCAACCATGGTCATTGGCAAGTGAGGAGATAATCCTAAAAAGGAAAAAGTCAGAGAGAGGGGGCCCTACAGTCCCCTGGGAGCTCTGCCCCAGGCCCTGGCTGACTCTTGAAGCCGCATGGCATGCGTAGGGAGGACGCTAAGCAGCCCTGCTCAAGATAAAGGAGCTGAAGCGGAAGCAGCATTTGAGCTCTCGGCTCAAGAGGGAGAGTTTGCAGTTCGAGCCCAACCAAATTAACTGCCTGCTGAAGCAAAAACACCACCATTCTTTGGAGAAATAAAACAAAATCTTGAGTTTTTTTAATCAGTGACAACGTCCAGGATATAATCCAAAATCATTTACTATAAAAAGAATCATCAGGAAAGTGTGACTCAGTCTCAAGAAAAAAAAAAATCAATGGAAACCAATCCCAAGATGACCCAGATGTTGGAATTAGGGGATAAGGATTTTAAAGGATGTGTTACAGCAACTATACTCAATGAAGGAAAGGAAAATATTTCATTGAAATGGATGAAAAAAAAAATCAGCAAAGAAACCAACCAATGGAAATTGTAGAACTAGAAAATGAAGCACAAGAAGTTGGCATTTATTTCCAAAATGAACAGCAAAGCTAGAGTGGTACCGACTGAGACGGCAGAACAGGGCCTCACAGTGAAAGGCTGAGGCCAAAGGACCGCAGCAAGGTCATGAGTGGGTCCCCTAGGGCGAAGTGGTGGCCAGATTTGTCACAGGGAGAGGATAAATGTCTCCAGGGACAAGCCTCTGAGAACACATATATGTCTAGATTGTTCCTCTTGTTGATGGAGCTTGATCTGCATTAACGTGCTTTCGTCGTTTTCCTCCTCGTACCCCTCCCCCATGGGGAATGGTTCAAATCGATCATGGGAATTACTGAGAATAAACGACCGGGTAAGAAACTGTTCCCACCAGTTTCTGAATCTCCAGTACAGTGCCCCTTAAATTGGCTTTTAATCACAGATCTGCATTCTTATCTTGGCTCTGCCAGGAGTCACTTAACCCCCGTGAACGCAGGCTCAGAATCATTAAAATGGGATTCCAACACCTGTGTGGCCTGCAAATCTGGCAGCTAGCAGCCTCCCATGTGAAACAGGACACGTGTTCACTTTGAAAACTTTAAAAAAGTTCATCAAGGTAAGAAATTATTATTATGCTTCCCCTCTCACTTCAATGTAGCTTGCTTTTAGACTCAATTATTTACTCACTCTCAATTATTTTAAATTAAAATGGAATCTAGGCTCCTTTTCCCTCCTACTTAGCGATGTTTAGCTTTCCCTTATGAGGAGGTACATGAACGGCCTGTAAGTACATAAGTACTCAGAGCTGTAAATGAAATGTCAGATTCAGAGCCTTTTCCAGAAGTATCGCTTTCTCCCCTTTGTGATGCATCTCACTTACTCTGTGTGCTTCTTGACCCAGTGACATGGAGGCCTGACACTGGGACCGACAACCCCAGTGGGATTCGAGGCCACTGTCAAGGTCATAACGAACGTGTGGGAGCTGAAAGAAAAGAATGAATGGGCTCTGCCTTTTTAACACCACGAAGACAAGTGTCCTTAAACATGTTGAACTAGCGAAACCTTAAAACAACACCATGCTCCTCCGGTTTGGGAAAGCTGGCCAGATTAAGGACTTTCGTCCTGCATGGAGGGGATTCACACACATGTGAACCAAGACACCCCCCAGAGGAACGACACAATTTGAAAGCTACTGAATACTCACAGCGAAGCTTCTTAGGTACTATCACTTGCTCTGAAAATAAAACCATCCTTAGCTTTACCCTGTATTTAGTAGTTTGGCAATAAGTATTTGTTTTCAAAAATTTCTTGCCCGGCTAGGCCTTCGTGGGCAGTGTGGTGTGGAGGACAGAAACATTATACCCATTGGAACATGACTATGAAAACTATGGTTTTCCCAAAGAAAGCAGCTCAGGTGCTAAAGTCAGTTCTCAGACTTCTTGCTAAGTTTCCCTTCATTTAGTTTTTTCTAAACGGCTCCAGAGTGGTTCTGTTACTGAATAGAGCATATTGCTCAATAGCTTAACTATGGACTCTCTATAACTCTGGAGATTTTTTAAAATTAGTAAGTCAGGCAACGCTTTTTCTGACTTTGACGAGATCTGGCCTGGAAGCAGAGTGGTGACTGGATGCTCTTCCAAGGTCCATGCGATCCTGGGAGTTGTACATGCCAGCCTCCCAGGACTCTCCAGCCTCAGTTACGACTCAGACCTCTGCCCTATGGGGCTCAGACTCCTTGGAATTAACGAAGCAGAAGCTCCAGGACCTTGCCCACATTCCCACACGGAGCAGGAGAGTTGCAGCCTGCACTTCTCCATGAGTGAACCAACACTACAGGCTCAAGAGAAATAAAGAAGAGGATGATGGAAAAACTACAGAACCATACTAACCCCATCAAGAGGAATGCAGTGGTATTACTGGAATGTTTTACTGCCTCACGGGCAAACACACACCATTTTCCAGTGAAAAGAACCAGTCCCCCTCAAAGAAATGGCTGGTTCCAGATCTGGGGTAGGAAATACACAAGATGAGCCTTGAACATCTTCAAAGAATATGAGGGTCAGCTCAGAAAGACTCTGCTGTCAGTCAGAAGGGGAGGACACTGGCCAAGGGAGGACAACTGATCATCAAAAGACTAATGATGGAAATGAATTGAAACACTCGAAACATCATAAATGTTAAGATCCACGAATTCATAATGATGCTCAAAGGAAAATAAAACCTTTTTGGTCACCTTTGGAGGAAATCAAGGGACCCAGTCTGAAAACTGGTAAATAAAGACAAGATTCAAGCATTTATCCCGCCTTTTCTATATGAATGATATTTCAGGGAAATGAAAGAGTCAACGAGGGAGAGTTCCTTATAAAATAATTCCAGCTATAAACTCAGCAATAACAGCAGATTTAGAAAAGCATCATTTTGAAGCTCTGAGTGAAATAATGGATTTGGTTCAATGATCATCAGTGGTTGCACAAACTGTTAGGTGAAAGGTTAAAGGGGAACTTCACAACAGCTGGATCGAGCTGACAACACCTGGATCCACTGAGTAATCCTCAGATCTCAAAAAGAGAGACAGTCTTGAGGTGACGTAACAGGGGCGCACAGCACCACAGATGATGTGGTCCTGCACACAGCCGAACCTGAATCCGAGCAAGCCTCCAGCTGTCCCGACCGCACGACAGGAAACACGGAGGACAGCTGGGCGTGTGGAACAACCCTAAAGACTCAGCTGGCCAGTCCAGCACGGAGGGAAGTCTGTAAGACAAAAGACCCAGTTTCTTTAACAAATAAACAGCCATAAAAAAGGAGAAGAGGGGAAACAGAGACAGATTAGAAGAGGTTTAAGAGACATACCTACCAAATGCAAGGGGGGCCTTGTCTGATCCCGATTCCAATAAATCAGCTGTAAGA